ATGAGAAAAAATAACGATATTTAAGACTAATACAACATTATTTTTACAATTAAACTTTCTCCTAGGCACATAAGAGTTCTATTCATTCATTGTATAAAGATCAAGTATATTCATTGATATCTGAAGAGATTTTATTACCTAATCTAATTTTTATATCTTAATCATTTGTAACATATGTATATACAATATATAATAAAAGATTAGAGAAGAGAAATAGAAACTCAAATCATATAAAAAAGCATTGTAAAGTTATTTAAAAAATATTAGTCTCATAAAAATATATGTCATAAAATATTTATTGTCCGTATTACATTTCCTCTGTAAAATTTTGATTGAAAAGATATTTTCAAATTTATTTAATGTTTAATATTATATATGTATACTGATATTTATTCAAATGATATCATTCAAATATTAGACATTGTAATATTTTTTTCAGATAAAATAATTTCTCTCGTGGGCATACACATGTGTTAGGTACGTGCGCACATATGCACATACATAATGTTAGAAAGAATGTATCATATGAGTTTCTTCCTTGTATTTAGCTGATTATACCATGGTAATAATTTATGATAGTGCGTAATAATTTATAAAAATTATTGATACTAACCGAAAAAAGGATTAGACTTCTCTCTGATGCAGAAATCTTATATGAACTTGTTAGAATAAAAAATCAATTATGACTAGACTGCAAATGATTGATGTCTACCAGTAAATCCATTTACCATGAAGGAACTGCTATTACCGTTCTGTGTCGCGTTAAAATATTTTGGAAGAATTGTTTTCGTTTGCTTCTCTATTCTCTGATCGTACTTAGCCTTATTGTAACATAATACCCCTAATATGGCCATGGTCATACCAAATATATTAAGCCATGTAACTGGATTGCCAAGTACAAGTAATGTTACTCCTATCACAAATATGCGTTTGCTAGCGCTCGCCACTGCGTACGTTAAAGGTGTCACAATGGACAATACCGAAAACGCAATAATATTTTGAAACCAATTAAGTATACCATCTAGAAATAATAATCCTAATACATAATAGCTTATATCTATGGACGGTCTTGTCATCGGTTCGTACATCAAGCTACGTAAGTCGTACACAATCCAGATTGGTAAGAACATGAATAAAGCTAGACGGCCGAGAATATGTAATAGTCGCAAGTGATGTATCCCTGTGTCATGTAGCACCTGCAGGTCAAAAGTTGCAAGATTTAAAAAGAAATATGAGGTACAAACATGAGATAGAATTTGTGTCCATATTGCATTACCTTTTTCGAGTAAATATTTTGCAAGGAAAACGCCATAGTGGATGCTAAGGCGCTTATCAAGCCGATCATGTTGAAACTAAGCTCCGTCAATGTGGCTACGGCTACGCCGCTGACTATCGGCACGAGGCTCAAATACACTTTCCACGTTTGCTGCTCCCGAAGTATTATTCTTGATAGAGCCACCGTGAAAAGAGGCATTGTAGCCTTCACTGGGACAGAGCCAAATTTCAGTTAATATATAACTACAATTAAAACAAGAGTAGTATAAAATAAAAGAAGAGAGAAGCAAAGGAGAAGGATAAAAGAGATAGGAAAAAGAAGGACAGGATAGACAGGGAGAAAGGAAAAGAGGAAGGGAGAAGAGGAAAAGGAAGATAGAGGGGAAAACAGAGAAAGAGGAGTCAGGAATTTGAGAAAAGAGGAGGACATTTTTTATAGAATTATATTTTTGGAATAACGTTGACAAATTATGAATAAATAATTTGATAAAATATCTAACTTGAAATTAAATTGTATGTTGTTATTCATAAATAATACAGTTGAAATAAATGTTATTCATAAATAATACAGTTGAAATATTATATCCTCCATATACATATGTATATATGCCCTTACCATTGATTTATATATTCTTGCTTAGATCTTTATTATAATATAATCATCAACCTTTATTTTATTTAATATTTATACAGTAAGGAATTTTTTTCAATTTATATTTATTAGAAAAAATATTGAAAAATCTATATTGATAAATTTTCGTCTTTACTTAAGTCATAAAGTAACAATGTATAGCCACTGTATTTCTATATGAAATATTATATTTATATAGTGAAATTGAGCCAAGAAAATAAACTTGAATATCATGTATTATATTATCAATGTTCCTTTTAATTTCATTTGTTAATATCAAACACATCGGATATTTGGTAAACAACAGTTGCGCTTAATTTTTGGCAGCCTACGAAGATTGCAACGCTTGCTATTGAACTATTCTTTTTAACATGTGGTTGAGCTGAATATAAAGCTATAAATAGTTCTTCCACGAAACACGCTTTATTGATACTAGCAGCACAATCAGAGTTTGCTATTTTACAATGTGTAATTTATTGTATCTTTCTACGTTATTTTATAAAGTGATAATGGGTTAAATTAGAAATTTTAATTAATTAATTTGCAGTAAAATGGAAATAAATAAAATAATGTAATGTAAATAGTCTTCCAATTACCCTTAATATAAATACACTCACAAAGTAAACGAGAGAGCCACGTTCATAGTGGCGTTTTATCTAAAAAATTACTTACAAGAAAGTTGCTATAGCGATTTGTGGTATCAACAGATTAATGTGTAAATAGAAATCGCGTGCACGACATATAACATGCACAGCCAGTCAAAGATTTGAGAAATACATAGATATAAATAAAAATATTCCGGCAAAACTTAAAAGTTTGATTCATGCCTTAATTGATATTTTTGCTGAATTTGGAAGATAATAGGCGTTATATTTAGCACAGTGTGGTTTTAACGTAGCATTATTTAATTTACAAAAATGGATTATTGTCTTTAAAGCCTTTTCTCCAAAACTGACCAGTAAATTATTACAGAAAATGGACGAGTCTTCTGTCAGAAAAAAATACACTTGTAGCTAGATTATCTAGATTAGTAAGAAAAAGTGAGGCGAAAATGTTTCATTTGTACTGGGAAGTGATTTTTAATATCTCAAGATCATGTTGGTTTTTTATACGTTTCCCAATCATTTATAAAACAGATACATTTAAGAAACACACATAAAACATATATAAACAATAATACCATGTGCCCTTACAAAAATGTGCATACTGAAACGAAAAAAGCACCGAATAATTACTGGAGTTCAATAATTGAATCATTAAAAGTTACTGATGTCCTAGTAATTATCTAGTGATTATTTTGTTCACATTGCTGTGAGAGTGGATCACGTTTATGCATATTAAATTTAAATAAAATCTTAAATTTCGAAATTGGTTTCCTTCTCAAACTGTGTTATATGTCGAATAGTAACGGGGCACAGAACAGGTTGGAAACACGGTATATAAATTCACATATTAAATTAAAAATGATTGGGCTACCTTCTCTTACTTGGATCTAAGTAATGATTTTATTCTCGTTTCCATTTGATTTAATACCCTGTATTTTGAAAACAAAGCAACTTAGGACATACATAGAACATCTTCTTTATAAAATAAGCAAAGAAATGTCCCTTCACATTTTTTTGTAAGGGAAAGTGGGGTAAAGTGGGAAGTGGGGTACAGTGGGAAATGCCATTTTTCGATGCATTTATGGGTATTGAACTATACCAACTGCTGTCAAACGTTCCTTGCTACTACTACGTCATTTTTCATAAGTTACTGACGTGTGTGCACGCAGTTTTTCAGTCCTCCGTGAATTAGTGAGAAAAATAGTTTGCAAAGTTGTTTTCCTTATTTTCGTGCAAGTATGTTTCGAGGGTATTTTCAACGTTCCGTTTAAAGTGAAAATTGGTAAGTTATCTTCTGACTGTTATCTTTCGAAATGTAATACGTTGTTTGGACAATTCTAACCTTGTGTCGACGCCATGCCAAAATCTTTAAAACAGCGTGGATGGGGTAAAGTGGGAAATCACTAAATTGTCAATGGACCAATGTTTTTAATAGAAATTATGTATTTTTATGAAATATTTCATTGCTTTCAGTCATCATGCCTCGTAAATACGTTAAAAAACGTCAAGATCCAGGTGTAGATATTTCAGCTTTGGTACAAGCACTTAAAGACGTCAAGATCGAGAAGAAGGCCATATTTATAATTATTCTTAATTTCTTCAAATTTTTTATTTCGATTAACATTTTTGTAAATTCCAAGTTCTAAATAAAGATTTACCATAAATAAAATTGCAGTTTGCTTCATTTCTAATCAATAATAGCGCATTTCCCACTTTATCCCATATAAAAAAATGGCTATTTTTTTACTTTTGTTCACATTGAAAGACATCTACGACAGAAGAATATTTTTATCTATTACAGGTGGGCGAAACTCAGCTAATGTCCACTTTTTGGCGATGGCACACTCACCGTTGCATAAAAATTAATTTTTATGGCTCTATTGCTTCACAGTAAAAACTATTCCCACTTTACCCCACTTTCCCCTATATACATACTTAGGAATCGTACTGTATTGTAGACATTTTCAATTGACGGTTAGAAACTCTTGACCAGCAGTGTATTGTATGTACTGCAATGCGAGCACAGCCTCTCGACATCTACTGCTAGATGAGATCTTTTTCGTCTTTCCAAGCAACTTTTGTTTTTTACCGAATGATTGTTTTATAACTCAAGCTTCCGTTCTTAATTTTACGTTTACATTTAATAATTAATGTTGTAATGCAATTAACATTTCTGTATATGTCATTGAAAAGGATCACATTAATTGATCGAAACGACCATTACGATTATTATACATAAAACTTTTGTATTCCACATCTAACATTCTGCGTCGGCTCTTACTACCTTCCTTTTTCCTCTTATTTGTTTTATTATCAGAGCCCTTGGACTATATTCGTTCAGTATACGATATGTAATATAATATGACGTATGTACGTGTGCATGTACACAAATATGTATGAGCATTATAGCGCAATGTGTGCACCTGACACACCAGCTAGACTTGCCAAAAGCGATGTATCGCATATGCATACCAGTGTGAGCGTAAGAGACGGGCACTTTCCAAATGCTGACGTGGCTGAACACGTTTGCAAGAAACTTGCCCAGGGCTAAGGGCACGATGAGCCGCAGGTAGTAACTCCATGTTATGTTGGACGAGTACTTTCTTACACCCCATAAATTGAAAAACGGGCCGGAGTAGACGGTGATCGAGGTCAATTGTACCATAGTCACCGTGAGGGGATACGGGAATTCCGACAGTAACATCTTGCCGACGACATTGCTGCTGCTGGACACCACGTACCACAGTAGACATAGGAACAATACCGTTATAACCTCGCGATTATTTCGCCTATCATCCATGATGTCTCGCGCGGGAGCGCGGTGCCAAAACTCACTCCTGGTCCCCTGAATTCGTCACTTTTCGCGCATATACATATATATTTATGTGCAGTATATGCGACGAGCACGCCTAACCAACCGGATTCACTCCGCGCTCATAGCTCGCTGACAGCGTTTAAATGTTAACAATACTGCTGAAGTGCTGAGAGCTGAGACTGCTCAGTGAAGAAAGAAACGGAATGTGGCGCCCGTGGTGGACGCACGAACCCGAGCGCCATGAGTTCCGGACCATTGTACTATAACCACAGTATAACCAGTATGCCCACTCGCTCTTTTGTTTCACGTTAGCGCCGATCCGTACTGTGCATCCGACATGTTCTAATTATGACCAATCACAGGATTTTTGTACGTGTGTTAGTGCAAAGTCGGTGTGACATTGAAAAATTTGCAGTGTTGACGAATAACGCGTTAATACTTTTAGGGTACTATTACATTTGTCGTACGACAAATTTTTCAAGCGTGTCGATTGGCCGCTGAATAGAAAGTTTCTAGATACTCGAGAATTTTACTATCCTTCAGCTAATCAATACGCTTAAAAACTTTGTCGTACGACAAATGTAATACCAGCCTTATACGTTGGAGCAAGTAATTACATTAATTACTTTTATTAGAACATTTTTTCATAGGCCATTTCCATTTACAATAAATAATGTACGCTAGTTCGTATGCGCCTTTCCTGGATACGATCCTGAAAAGGGCCCAGGCACTTTTAGCCGTTGATACACTGTTGGCGCGATTAAAAACATGGCGGAAAATTGAGAACGCCCAGATCAAAGGTGCCGACAGAGAGTGGGCATACTGGTTATACTGTGCTATAACCACAGTATAACCAGTAGTGGCACTCGCTCTTTTGTTTCACGTTCGCGCCGATCCGTACTGCGCATCCGACATGTTTTTATTCTGACCAATCACAGGATTTTTGTACGTGTGTTAGTGCAAAGTCGGTGTGACATTGAAAAATTCGCAGTTTTGACGAATAACGCGTAAATACTTTTATACGTTGGAGCAAGTATAATTACATTAATTACTTTTATTAGAACATTTTTTTCATAGGCCATTTCCATTTACAATAAATAATGTACGCTAGTTCGTATGCGCCTTTCCTGGATACGTTGGCTGGATACAGGAGACGGTAGGCCGGACTCGGAAGGCATTTAAGAAAATCGATCGATGAGCGGGAGGTGGAGCGACGCGCGAGATACTACAGGGTGTCTGATGCAAAAGTAGCAACTTTGAAAATAGTGGTAGATTGGGTTAAACTAAGGAGAAATATCGTGTACTCCGGTACAAAGTAACATTAGTTATTGAGTAGTAAATTTACACGTTTGAGCGAATGAGGATGCAGGAGACGGACTCGGAAGGCATTTAAAAAAATCGATCGATGAGTGGGAGGTGGAGCGACGCGCGAGATACACCATGGTGGGAAAAAACCTAGGCGCGGCGGGGAGCGCGGCGCGGGCGGCGAGCGCGGCAGCGAGCGCGAGCGACGAGCGACCCGAAACATAAACATAGTATCTCG